TGCTGAATCAATTTGAATTTGTATGACGATTTTACTGAGTAGAATATATCTACCTATCTATCTACTTACACATCTTTAACACTGCTCCTGGACCATCCTCAGAAAATGTTTTCATCAAGAGAAACCAATTTTAATGAGGTAACAAAATACAGTATAGTCCAGTCTTAAAAACGGTAAAAAAAACGCGTCGCATCTGATCCAAGTGAACCTCTTCCGCGAACAAGCTCCCTTGATGAAGAAATTTGAATAATCTGTAAAAAAAAAAAAAAATCTACACTAACGTTTACCTTTACTTTACTTCGTCAAGACGGTGCTGACAAAGAAAACGTGGATTCTTTATCGTTATTATATCATACATACTGTAGTGTTATAATCTGGGTTATTACTTTTCGTTACGTCTCTCTCTCCTTGGCAACAGTGATTGCGTGTTACATTTCATCATAATTGTTGTTAATTATTGTAACAATGTGTTAAAGTGCGTTATGTCTGTTTGGTGCTGGTTATCTGTAACAGCGCGTTAGAATATGATGTCTTATATGGTGATAATGCGTTAGATTTCTTTTAAGGTCACACTAACGTTGATCATTTTATACTGAATGACATACAGTGTAAACGTATAGTGTATGTTGTCAGTAACGATAATAAAACCACGTATATCAGTCCGTTGTCGATAACAATGATGAAATGTAATGTATCGGCGTTAGTTACTTTATTTATTATTGTTAATATGATATGGGTTTATGGCAACATCTCAGTGACAATATTGTTGTTTATATTATTCCAGATTTAACATCAAAGTTAACAAAATTTTAGTTAAAATTTACACTTTCATTTTGTTATTTGCTTGTATATTACTATATATCAATTGGGTTCCGCTATGATTATGATTTTTTTTTCCGTCCTCTTTTACTCGAGGTCTTTGATGTGAACTTCAAAGGAAACTTGAGGAATGTTTGAAATTTTCCTTCAACTGATGATTATGAACGAGAAGTTGGTTTTCCGGATTGTGTTAGATATTTATAGTGTAAAATCCGTCTTACTCTTTCTATATTTTGTTTACTTTTTCTTTGTGTGTGTGTGTGTGTGTGTAGGTACGTATTGGTAAACACTGACATGTTTGTCTTGTCTACTCCACAGACCCAACCAAGTCGACTCTCCAGTATCTCCACTAGGTAAGCCCCTTACATTCATAGCAACGCAGTCATCATCCTAACACACCGTAACACATTCGTCACTTCAACACACTCACTACTACAATACACTTACCAATCTTAACACATCACCTCAGCACACTCTCCTCCTCAACACATTTACCACACTACGTTCACTTCAACACTCACCTCAGCACACTACTGCAACGCACTTACCCAATCACGCCCATTACTACAACACGCTCATCACCTCAACACACTCGCTATCTCAACATACTCCCCACCTCCACACACTCACTATCTCAACTCACCTCCAAGACACTCACATCCACTCTCATCCACCAAAACGCACTATGTGTCAACGCGCATGAAATCACTTATGAGTTCGTGAATGATACACTAATCTGTTTTACCTTACCTCATTTACCTAATGGCCACCCACTAAAGGTGGCTATCCCGAGGGAAGGAGGCCAGTGGCCTGTGTAGGATCCCTCCATCATTCTTGATAATTTTGTTAAAGGCTATTTTAAATCCCAGTGCTGCTCTTGATTCCACAGCTTGGGTTGTTTATGGGTCAAAGAATTTATGTTTGAGTGTATGAGACAGAAAACTGATCTCTCTGATTATATGAGACATTGAGCTGATTTGTTTGGGTGTATTTGATCCAGAAAAAAATATATATATATTAATTTTGAATACGTTTGAGACAACGTTCTAATCTTTTTGTGAGTATGTGAGAAAAAACTAATCCATTACAGTGCGTGAGTCGAAGAACTTATCCGTTTCAGTACTGTATACTGTATGTGTGAGTGAAAGAAATAATTTATAGAGTGCATGGGAGACATATATTATACCTCCTCCTCACTTTGGAGGATGAGCGGCAGGTACATGAGACGGATAATGACGCATGAAGGGAAGGCGCTGAGGAGTCTGAAAGGCAAATACAGTTTCCAAGATGGCCGCCAATGTTTACAGCACCTCATTCTCGCTTCCACTGATGTCTTTACTCTTATTTTTTTATTGTTTCAGATGAAGCGACGTCCTGCATGAAGACTACTTGATGTTCCTTAAAGAATTAAATGAAAACCAAAATAACAAATACACATATTAAACAAGACAGGACATATTTAGATTAAAACAAAATGAGGAAGTTGGGGCTAGGAAAGCCACCTGAATTAGTTAATAATCCTTAGGAGTGTGAAAAAAATGACAACAGTAAAATAGAAAATAGGGCAAATTTAGATATGAAACATAGAAAGGTACACAGTTAGATTTGGGCGTAATTATTATCAGAGGTGATATGAAAAAACAAACACCAAATTTTAAAATTGTAATTTTGAAAAACACCTGTTTGAAAAATCGCGAAAATATTCAAATAAAAGTTTATCAGTTTTTAGATAAATGAAGATAATATGTTTTGAAATCTAAGAATTTTTAAGTTTTTAGTCTTTCTTTTGTTTCTCTTCGAAAATACTGTAACTGTTAAAAGACTCTAAAATTTGGCGTTGCACTGAGAATACGTCTGGTGGAAGGAGAATAGCTCTACTTAAAAGCTTTATTCCTTTACAGTTTTTTCGGAGTTTTCTCAATTCCAATTTTCATTTACTTCTTTCTTGTTCCTTTCATTTATTTTCCTTTCTCTTTACTTCCTTCTTGGTTCTTATACCTTTTTTATTTCTTTTTAATTTCTTTGTGTTTCTTCCTTTTCTTTCCTCCTTGGTCTGTCTTGTCCTATCATTATCTTTGTCTTTCATCTCTTGTCCGTTCTTCGATTTTCTGTCTTGACTTTTTCCTTTCTTTTTCATTTTCTTTCTAGTTGATTTTCTTCTTCGTCTTTCTATCACATCTTTTTTTCGTCCCCCAATACTTTGTCCTTCCCTTCGTCTACCTACGCTTGGTCCCTTTTTTAATTCTTCCTTTTATCGTCTTGTCCTATATTCGTCTATTTACCTCATGACCCTTTGTTCTTTGTCTCTCTATGTCTTCCATCTTCCTCTTCCCCTCCAGCTAAAGTAGAGTCGGGAATGAAAATGTTACACTACGCTAACATAGACATAGACAATTTTATTCCTTCCCCCATTTTTTATATCCGCTTCGTGTTTAAGACTTCCATTGTCAACATTATATCTCGCTCCTGACTCCCCCCCCCTCCCCCCTCCACTCTCCCCCTTTCTTAAAAAAAAGGGGGAGAATCGTTATTTTTGTCTTAAAGTGTGAAAATTTCGTGTTATTTTCGTCTTAGCATTGCGGCGTTAAGTCTGTCAGAGCCAGTGACATCAAAGACGCTAGTTGCAAAGATGTCTGTTATTCCGCGAAAGCAAGACTTGATGTGTTATACGTTTGCCGATGTGGGTGTGTTTTTTTATAAGATTAGAATAAATTTATTTTATTCAGAAGTATTTTATGCTAGTGATGGTATAGGAGAGCAGTTTTAGGTATGAGTGCAGGTTAAGGTACAAGGACAGGTTTAGGTATATAAGTGTTGGTTTAAGTACAAGTGCAGGTTATGGAACGAGGGTAGACTTTGGTACGATTACAGGTTTAGGTACAAGTGTTGGTTTAGGTACGAGTGTTGGCTTAGGTACGAGGACAGGTTTAGGTACACATCCAAGGATACATACAATTACAGACACAGATATAGGAGATACAAAACGTAGTTACAAGTTCAGGTGAAAATGCTAATTACAGGTTTCAAATGGCACAAATACAGGTGGTTTAGGTACAAGTACAGGTGCAGAGAGTTCCAGCATTACAATAATAACCCTAAAACTTGTTAAACTTAGTCAATTACACACCGTATAGGCCCTAATTAAACCAATCCCCCTAAACTTCCAAAACCAGTTTAATGACTAGTTATGCTCGTTAGGTCGATATGTAGTCCACGTAATTAGTGAAGTCCAAGTCGAAAAAGGTTAATGTAATGAAACTATAACTTGATTCCAGGCTTTCACTTGTTTTCTTTGCCACGAATAACTTGTTGTTTTCGTGTGCTGGCAGATGACTGTATCCTTTGGTGACTGAAGTTGACTGTATCCTTTGGTGACTGAAGATGACTGTATCCTTTGGTGACTGAAGATGACTGTATCTTTTGGTGACTGAAGTTGACTGTATCCTTTGGTGACTGAAGATGACTGTATCCTTTGGTGACTGAAGTTGACTGTATCCTTTGGCGACTGGAGATGACTGTATCCTTTGGTGACTGAAGTTGACTGTATCCTTTGGTGACTGAAGATGACTGTATCCTTTGGTGACTGAAGATGACTGTATCCTTTGGTGACTGAAGATGACTGTATCCTTTGGTGACTGAAGATGACTATATCCTTTGGTGACTGAAGATGACTGTATCCTTTGGTGACTGATGATGACTGTATCCTTTGGTGACTGAAGATGACTGTATCCTTTGGTGACTGAAGATGACTGTATCCTTTGGTGACTGAAGATGACTGTATCCTTTGGTGACTGAAGATGACTGTATCATTTGGTGACTGAAGTTGACTGTATCCTTTGGTGACTGAAGATGACTGTATCCTTTGGTGACTGAAGATGACTGTATCCTTTGGTGACTGAAGATGACTGTATCCTTTGGTGACTGAAGATGACTGTATCCTTTGGTGACTGAAGATGACTGTATCCTTTGGTGACTGAAGATGACTGTATCCTTTGGTGACTGAAGATGACTATATCCTTTGGTGACTGACTGTATCGGTGACTGAAGATGACTGTATCCTTTGGTGACTGGAGATGACTGTATCCTTTGGTGACTGAAGATGACTGTATCCTTTGGTGACTGACCTTTGGCTGGAGACTGTATCCTTTGATGACTGGAGATGACTGTATCCTTTGATCTGGACTGTATCCTTTGGTGACTGGAGATGACTGTATCCTTTGGTGACTGGAGATGACTGTATCCTTTGGTGACTGAAGATGACTGTATCATTTGGTGACTGAAGATGACTGTATCATTTGGTGACTGAAGATGACTGTATCCTTTGGTGACTGGAGATGTCTGTATCCATTGGTGACTGGAGATGTCTGTATCCTTTGGTGACTGAAGATGACTGTATCATTTGGTGACTGAAGATGACTGTATCCTTTGGTGACTGGAGATGTCTGTATCCATTGGTGACTGAAGATGACTGTATCCTTTGGTGACTGAAGATGACTGTATCATTTGGTGACTGAAGATGACTGTATCCTTTGGTGACTGAAGATGACTGTATCCTTTGGTGACTGAAGATGACTGTATCATTTGGTGACTGAAGATGACTGTATCCTTTGATGACTGGAGATGTCTGTATCCTTTGCTGACTGGAGATGACTGTATCCTTTGGTGACTGGAGATGTCTGTATCCATTGAATGTTGATTACAGGTGACACGTTTTCTTTTAACTGTGGCCACACCTGACATGTTTTACCCCGTTTTCGTTTATTATTATCTGCAGATAAGTTTTCCTTAATTGCCATTAATCTCAAGTGGCCCAATATCCCTGACTATTGATCAGAGATGACTTTCTTTTTTAAATATTATAGGGTCATGTTGTAATCGGGGGATCCTTGACCCCCCTATTGTGCCCCTCTAAGTGCTGTGTTTAATAAGCGCCAGTCCCCATGATTCAACTCTCTCCTTCAGCCTTTAACATTCTACACGACATAAAGTGAGATACTACTTAATGACAAAATCCCTGACGAAGTTTTAAATCCAAACCCTGAAGCTGCTGGAGACAACAATAGATTAGCCACTAAGGCTTTAATACTGTAATATGACCCATGGCCTCCCAGACAGGAACACGGGGTATACAAATCATTATGGAGACTCGTTGAATAGAATTTCAGAAGAAAAAAAAACCTACCTGCCTACCTACCCTCTCGTATACAGGGATGTAAATGCCTAGGTTCTTGTACTATGCTGTAGGGAACTTTATGGACTTTTCTCCCGGCACTAGTTAACAGATTAAGTTAACATTGAAATGTACGCTAATACATCGTGAACCCACAGGACGAATGAAATTAGTGCCCTGTATACTACCTACCCCCCCCCCTTGTCCCTTACCTCCAGCTCCTGAAGTACACCCTCTAACTCTTACCTCTAAAAACTAAGTCCTGTATACCACCCAGTAAACAATTAGACAGCCCCTTCAACTAGATAGCGAATGCCCTGTAAAATAGCCCCAAAACCATCAGCCCTAAGCAGTGAGCGCCCCGTACAGTACTAACCTTACCTCCCCCTGCCCGCTGCTGACACGGACCTGCAGACTTCGCGCTCTTCTAGCTCGCCTGAGACCAAAGGTAATGATTGACCCTCCACCTAGCACTTCCCTTAATCTAGCACAAATATCCTACCGTCTCAGCACCGCCTCAGTCCTGCTACCACCACGCACACAACTCCCAGCTCGCCTTCGCTCTGCGACCTTCTTTCTGGCCTCTGGCGACCTTCCTGAGCAAGTAACCTTGCTGCTGCGCCACTAGCATGCTATTCTCGTACTCTGTAATTATTCCTCTCCCCTTTAGGTGTCTGAATATCTTCAACATGCAATGCGTTCGTTGCCTCATAGATGTGTATTTACGAAGCATGGAATTAATATTTTGCATGATATATATATATATATATATATATATATATATATATATATATATATATATATATATATATATATATATATATATATATATATATATATATATATATATAGATATATATAAATAAACTTCCAGTATACTGTATCAGAAAACGTGCTAACATTGCCACTCAGTGGCGTGTAAGTATGTATCTCACTTCAGAATACATGTAAAGACCTGTTCAGTCTTAATTGTTTCGAAAGAATGTGCATGACATTATTTTTACAACAACACGTAATGTGTAACTGAGAACACACGCACCACCAAGCGGGTAACACTTCATGGGTGATGTCGCGGATACCAACAACTTTTTGGTAATTTTGAAGATTTATTTTTATAATTGTTCTAATTAGAAAAGTCACTGAAATATTATATGCCACTGCATTTATTTTATCAATAAATAATCTGCCTTTGTTACAAGTGGATTTGTTTAACTGCCTCAGCAGAGACGGATGAAAACACATTACTTGAGTAAAACAAATCTGATGGCACAAAACAGTTCATAGTACTTGAAATTCTTACCATTAGGGACAAAACCTTCAGATTTACACTAACTTCTTCTTAGATAAGTGAATAAATTTTGTTGATCAAAGGCGTTAGTAATACTTTACAACAGAACTAAAGTAGCCATTTTTAAATTATGTTTTAACAGTATTTGCTTCTTAAATTTACTCTTTGTTAACTGACCCAGTGTGAAGAATTTGACAAAATTTCTTTGAGTGAACCTTGGAAAAGAAATTGAGGCTGTGGCTTCCGGCGCATAGACAAATCAACAAAAAACTTCTCAAGTGTGTCTGACATCAGCAGGAACGAATCACTGAGTACTGTCCCTGCTAAAAGCAGACATAGATCAGCGACGGATTTTACCAATTCCCCAAGAGCCCCCTTACCATATCCTAAATATTTTTTCAACACTGGGTTAACTACAAGTACAGCACATCCACGGGCTATAAATACAGTTGAGGTTTACACCCAATTTAATGTTAGGATTTCCAAGGGATGTTCATTAATTTTTTTTTTCTGCGCACACAGTAGAACTCAGATCAGGTGGGGGAAACAAAGTAAAAACGATTGCGAATTTATTTTGAAAAATTTGTATGTTTTTCAGGCCACTTCGGTAAATTGACAAACCATCGTGACCCATGGTTAGATTCATTAGCAATAACGAATCACTGAGCGTAATATACCGTACCTTACTGGAGATTACCAATGTTCAGTGGTTCGAGCCTATTAAAATAAATAACGCGAGCAGTACCGTATCCCAAGTACATTAATTTTAAAAGCTGGTTTCTTTGTGCATTTATAAAATATGTAAAAGTCCCGAAGAAAACAAACCATTATGATAGATGTGAGCATAATTTATAATGTGCCTGTATATAGACAGTGCAGGTATACACACAGTGTATATAGGCAGCACAGGCATACACACAGTGTATATAGACAGTGCAGGTATACACACAGTGTATATAGGCAGCACAGGCATACACACAGTGTATATAGACAGTGCAGGTATACACACAGTGTATATAGACAGTGCAGGTATACACACAGTGTATATAGACAGTGCAGGTATACACACTGTATATAGATAGTGCAGGTATTCACATAATGTATACAGACAGTGCAGGTATACACAGTGTATGTCAGTATACAGTACAGGTATACACAGTGTATGTCAGTATACACACCGTGTACTACGTATAGACAGTGCAGGCGGCCTTCTATTTCACACTGTTTCGTCTTTTAGACTTTAGAGTCTTTCGGTAACCTGTACAGTACATGATCTCACTCGCGGTACTTTATGCAGTATTAACCGGTCGAACGGGAACGGGAATATCTTCCTTTATATATGTTTCATCTTACAGCATTCATAAAATGGACTTCCGTATCATACAACTTCCTCAAATTATTTTGTTTGGTTTTTGACTTGTTATTTGATAAATTATTTTCGAAATGATGATCTATAATTGCATACCTTAAAGAATTACCCAGGGCCTGTGTAGGTTCGTAGGTATATTAATAAAATTATTATCACTTGCTTTGCTTATCAACCAACATAATCGCTTATTGCATGTTTGTGGCGGGGCATGAAAAGTTAATAGGCATGGTGCATGTGATTAACTGTTAGTCTGAGCGAATGTAATGGCCTGTTCGCTTTAAGAAAAACACATTATTTTTCAACTAAGTAAGGCTAATTGGTTTCCAAGTTGATGAACAAAAACCTCGAGGAACATTTCACTCCAGTAAGACTTTTAAATTGGCAGAGAAGCAAAATCTACACATTGTCTGTTCCTTGTAAACATATTGGATTGTCACTATTAAAGTAAGTGCTACTCGGTCTTACTGTTTTCATTCTCTGGGATGATTTCCAAATACAGTTGAATTACGATAAATATTAAGGTGTTAAATAAGTACAAAACCTTTAAATCCAACAGAGATATATAACCTTATCACTCCAGGGAACAGCGACTATTCATAGCTTAGGTATTTGTGCTAGCAAGTGGTGCAGAATGGGTGTTGCACAGGGTTTATGAGTAATATAATTTTGCCTGGTCAGCTCTGATGAATCTCTATGCATGAGCGAGGTCCTGCTGCCTGGTGGTGATCCTGAAGACGATCCTCAGCTCCAGCAGGCCAGCGAGGAGGACGTTACTCTCCTCTCTTTCACCCCGCCGGCGGTGACTCTCTCATCAGGGTGGACCCACAGCCCATCGCTTCACTCCCCTACTAACCCACCTTTACGGACAGGGTTAACACCTAGCCCACCTCTACAGACAGTGTCAACACCTAGCCCACCTCTGCTGACAGGGTCATCATCTAGCCCACCTCTGCTGACATGGTCAACACCTAGCCCACCTCTGCTGACAGGGTCATCACCTAGCCCACCTCTGCTGACAGGGTCATCACCTAGCCCACCTCTGCTGACAGGGTCATCACCGAGCCCACTTCTGCTGACAGGGTCATCACCGAGCCCTCCTCTGTTAACAGGATCATCACCTAGCCCACCTCTCCTGACAGGGTCACGATCTAGCACGCCTCTACCGGCAGACTCAGAACTTAGCACACCCCTGACAGTTTCACCGCCTCACTCACCCCTCCTGGTAGGGCTGCCTCCCCGCCAAGCACAGTACTACAACCTCACACCCCAGGTACACAACCTCTGCTTGCACGGCAGCATGGTCTCTCATTCTGTATTTCTCGCCTAAGACTTAGTGACTGTTGTCCATATTAGCTAAGTATGCATATTTCTCACACTTATCTGTATCTTGTTTATCGTCAAAAGTCAGTCTTTCCTGTAGCCGAAGTGACTGTCAAAACTCTATCAGTCTGGTGCGCCTAATTCATTGAAAACTTGACGACACGTTATTGTGATGTAACGAGCGCTTTTTGTTTTTACGGGGAATAGCCCACCTGGGCACAGGTCATCGACCCATAACGGGGCCTGGGAGGCGAAAAAATAAGAGTAAAAAGAAATTAAAAATATTAGAGAAAAAGACTATATTAATCTACACCCCCAGAGTGGTAATGTTCTGTCAACTATTACGACAAGGGTAATTAAGATGTCCAAGAAAAAGAGACTCACTTGAGCTAGTGGTTCAGACGTACTAAGAGTCATCAGATCTTAAGGTATTAACCGCGGATGATTTTATTTTTGGTAATTTACTTATATCTAAAAACAAAATACTAATACCAGAATATCATTGTGTACAGTGCACACGGAAAAATATATATCTTCCTGGATAGGTCCGATAAATTTCGAAATGATCAATACGTCTCCTGTTGTTTCGGTAGGATTGTCAAAATGCTTCGTCTATGAATCTGGTGTCATATTGTTTCACACAAAAAGTGGTAAGATACTTATCGTATGTACTGTACACCATTTAAGGTTGAGGGTGTACAACTGTGGACAACGCCCGAGGCCATAATATCACTGTTATATTCTCTGTTGATAAAATTCCGGATTTACAGGAAAATTCAATCAACCTTGTTGTTCCGAAAATACTGGATTTAACTTTTAATTCCGTCAGAGTTTTAATTTTGGCTGTCTAACAATCAGCTGATGCAGATTTTGTTGTAGTGTTTCACCACTCTAAAGGATATATATATATATATATATATATATATATATATATATATATATATATATATATATATATATATATATATAATGTAGATCCATAATGGAAACGTGGATAAGATCAGATATTGATATTGAAAGTTTATTTAGCCAGAAGAGCACAGATACAGAGTCGATAAAAATAATAATATTAATATGGCTGAGCCAGTTGAGAGCCTGAGCCTATGTGTGTGTGCATTTCAGGTAATATGGAATATGAATTATTATTTTCTTATTACTAACTTCATGGGTTATTTCTATACTGATGTTCTGGTCATGCCGAAATAATTACAAGTCTTTAATGTTTGTTCATCCATGTCAAGCATTTTACAAAATTCCTCCGTTCTCTGTTCTGAAACTAAACTTCAATAGCACAATACCAGTACTGTAGTGTCATATTGATTGGTACGCCCAGCAGCGCAGTTTAAAACCGATGGCCGATTATCCTCTAACACCCGGCATTAAGCCGAAATTGTCGTACAGACTGTTCGTGAAAAAATTCGTTTGCCCATAATTCCACAGTTTGGTTCTTGAAGAGGCACATTTATTCTGTGATACCCTCTTTAAAATGAACATACAAGTAATAAATGTTCTGAAAGAGAAAGATAGTATAGCAAGCGCCCGGCTATAATTTTACATCATTTCGGCTAAAGGAGAGACTTAGGCCACACTAGTTTTGTCTTGTTGTCTCTACCCTCTTGTGATAATATTAACAGCTGATAATAATATGTGAGTTCTTGCCGCCCTTCATCAGGCAGAGGACGAGGTGGAGTTGACGCCACACCTGGAGCAGCAAGACATCAGCGACCCGCCCCCCACTACCACCTCCAGGTATCTCGTACACTACTCAGTTTTTTCTCGTCCACACAACACAGCAGTGAAACCAAAACTAATGCACCTGGTTGAGTCTCATAGGCTTTTTGCTATAACTATTTATATTTTCTGTTTCTACTCAAGGTTATATACTTTCGGTTTATTTCGTGTTATTTCATGTATTAACTCAAAAGCAATACTAGTTTAGGTACAGGTACAGGCGCAGGTACAAGTACAGATGCTAGTAGAGGTAGAGATTCTATTACAAATACAGGTACAGTTGCCTCCATTTATAATGGGTACAGTGGCTGGCGTGTTTTGTGAGATGTGGCATAACTGTTTGTTTTACATTGTAGTAAAACTAGTAGAGTGGGCAGAACTACCCTCGCTATAGCAACCAGACCAAGGATGCTATCTCTATCTGGCAATGCGCGTATTTCCTGCATGGTTATAGTTTTAATGTAGATTACCAAGTTAGGAACCAAATCTATTGTCTGGTGGGCGGTGGTGCCATATTTCACAAAACACTGTAGCTGTTGTACCCATTATAAATGGAAGCAACTGTACGTACTGTACATTCACAAATAAAGATATGAGTAGAAGTAAGGGCTAATTTAATGTTTGATTATGATTCCCTAAGTCGGCATTTAAAATACCAAAGTAAATTTGCCGTAAAGTTTTGAATAGGAAAATTTAACTTACATGGGTCTTATTTGAATTAAATTATAACTTTGACATTTCAAATACATAAAATAAACATACCTAAATATTAGGAATAAATGATGTAAACTTAAATTGACGTTTTAGAAAACAGTGTGACAGCCAAGAATTATTATAATGACAAAACTCATGTAAACACTTACTGTAAGCGGTGTATAATATAACTCCACCTGAACATTTACGTTATCTTAACTGAAATAAGAAGTGTGGTGGCCGCGTGAACACAGCACTCGACTCCTGCCATAAGGTTCGTTGATTCGATCCGTGGCACTCCCAGTCTACCCAGCTGTGACCGGGTACCTGACTTCAGTTGGGAAGTGAAGGTTGTCGAGTGCAGTGCCGGTCACACTACCTCCTTGTGTACTGTACCTACGGGCTGTAGGGCCTATGGGACATTTTACTTTCATATAAAATAAATAATTCATGTATCTATTAGTCTATTTTAATAAATTACTTTGTTAAAAAAAATAGGGACATGCAAAGTACGCACACAATCATTTATTTTTTTAAAGATATAATCTAGCTTTGCTGTTTCGAGCATCGATAGAATATATCTACTGAAGTTGTTGACAAAGTAACAGTTGATCAGTGTTGATGAGAATAACAACTTTTTTATGTTGACAGAGTGACTCCGGTGGGTGGTGGAGAGCAACGGTGGTGGGGTCTGCACGGAGCTGCTGCAGGTTCTCTTCCCTCCCTCACTGAACCAGAGTCTCCCCCAACAACATCTCTTGACCTCGAGTGGGAGCCAGAAGCTGGTGAGTCTGGGAGAGATAGAGAGAAAGGTCAGTTGTGGAAAGAGGAATGTATGCCAAGTAGAAAGGGGGGGGGGGTTGGCACAGGTCACTGACCCACATCAGGGTGTATGTGAGATGGGTGAGATGGGGAGTGTTTGTGCCTGTATATGTGCTTATTCCTGTTTATCTATGGTTAAATTACATCTATCTGCATATAAGACATAATTGTTAGATCTGGTTAGGAGTTCTATGATAAATAAATAGAAGTGGTACCAAACTCCGACATCTGACTTCCATAAATAGACTCAAGTTTCTGGTATAACCACTAACACACAATAATAAATGGCACAACCCCAGATGATAATTTTATCCTATTATGCAAGTTCTCCCTTGATCTTACTCAGTAACTCATCCTTCCTCTGACATTCTGAGAGCTGTCACGTGTCCCCCGACAGGTCTCGCACGAGCCAGCAGGGAGTCCCTCAGAGAAGAGGAAAGGTCCCAGACGGCGGAGTCAAACAGCTGGGTGCCGCGCTCTTCCTGCTCCACGCCCAATAGCCTCGAGTGGGACTTCCGCGCTTCCACACTAAGCCTGAGGGGCGGCATGGAGGACGAGACGTGGCAGCACACTGACCTCGAGACCGAGCAGCTGCTTCAGGAGATAGAACAGCTGGCTGCCCGCGCCCTAGCTGACACTGGACACGGCCTCCAGCCACCGCCCAGATAGGAAAGGCTTCAGTGACTCACCCACTCACGAATCTAAGAGCATATTTCAAAAGTTTGCAAATAGACAAGTCAGACTTATATTAGATATTGTATGTTTAAATTGTGATAGAAGTGTGAGTCGTCCTGCCTTCACCTCGGTGCCCACACAACAGAAGCTTCCCCGTTGCCTTGGGAGTCTGCCCGCCAGGAATATAGATTTTCTGGACAATAAGACAGTGATTAATAAGGTCTTCTGGCGTGATGAACTGAGATATTAGCGTGATGAACTAGAACAAAGGCGTGAGGAACTAAAAAATTGAAATATGTAATTGACAAGTGTTACATCAAAAGATGAACTAAGAGACAGTGGCGTGATTAACTAAGACACGAGTCGACTCCTGGGCAAGTTGCTATGTCACTCTAGAATAGAAGGACTAAACATTGTACTGGGGACCTGAATGCTTCTGTTTACTACTGTGTACCAAATAGCATTTATAACAGTACTGCATAACGTACTCTGATATATTACTAGACAAAGCATGGTATACATACCTTTAGACTATGTACGAAGATCCTTATTGCGGAATTCGACAGAAAGAAGTTTATCCTGTAATATTCTATAACAACAAAGACAGACACCTATCATAATCTTCTTGACCCGTAACATATCCTTTACCACAGATCCTGCTGACACATCAGACATAATTATATACAGTATATTAGTCCTTCACCCTGGTGTTGGTGGATCTGCCTCATATCGAACTTCATCAGGGAAGTTAACCTCCTCTCTCGTATAGTCAGTATCTCCTCTTCTGCTTTAATGAACCTTTGACTAAATCGACGAGTTCACGAACCCTTTTTTCCTGGTTTCAAAAACGCATTTAAACTTCTCTGACCCCCAAGCTTGTGAATACCATTTCAAGAGAATAATGTTATCAAACCAACTTAGGTAATGTATAAAAGTGATACGTCAATTTTAGTGAGGAAGATGTTCCGACCACTGCCCCACAAAGTTTTGAGATGGTCCCATAATTGCTCAATATTTACTTACTAAGGATACACAGTGTTTACTTGCAGTATGCAACGTAAACCCAAAATTAGAATTCACTTATTATCCATTACAGACAGAAAACGATGATACGACGTGTGCCTCACGCTTGTACACAAACTGCGCTTCCTAATGTGGTAAAGTCAGGGACAAACCCACGGGCGGGATGAAAGTTTTTTCTGGCACACAAGGATTGTAAGTGGTTGCTGGAGACGTGAAGGTTTTTATTAATGTGAACAGTTTTCCATTGCTCTAGCGTTGTAAATTGGTTCGAGGTTTTGGAAACGTGAATTATTACACTTGTCATCTCGTTCTTCTCTGGGAGCAAGGGGGTTGAGATCAGTGTTTAACTCAGTCAATATGCACATCAAAGTTTTCTGACAAGAAAAGCATTATTTCGCTCGTCTTCACTTTGTGCACTGCTCTCTACGTGACTCAGAGACATTACCAAGTTATGTAATAAGTGGTGAGGGTCTTCATTGAACCAGCACACTTGTTATTAATAGTAGTTCTGTGAATATACTAGTAGTGTCTGCAGTGTTCACTTGTCAACAGTGTCTATATCCGTGGTGTTATGACAACATAACGTCTGTGATCTTGCTTAATATCTTTGTAAGTAAAGTTACAAAACCTAAAAGTAGTTCTGTGTTTCAGAAATAATACAAAAATTTAAATCGTAACAAAGGTTGTGTTGCGAGTGTTCCATTAAATCCGAGAGAACTCGCAAACCTGTGTGCATATCGTTTTATACAAACCAGCTATTAGTTATGAGCACAGTTTTTAACTGTGTTTAGTCTTTATCCAGCGTCATTTTTATGCTTAGTTTCTAAGCAGTTTAGTCATGGTCGTAGTAAATTCAAATTCAAGAGATAAACTTTAAAAGCTCCACTGAAACATAAATATCTAAGAGACAAAAAATTATTAATGTTATGTACTTTCAACTATTTCTGATCCACTGATTTATCTGGTCTGTAAAAAGCAATTTCAAGGCTGTGAACTATTAAAGAGCGTCAAAAAATTATCTTCTCAAGAATAATAACAAAACAAAAAGAGTGTTTCTCTTACAAGATACGATTACTAATCCTCGAATTGTTTGATCTCAGACAGTCGAGGTGCGGAGTAGAAATCAGGTGATTCACTCAATACATTTTTCAAGCTACATATACAGAACAGTGGCGGGAACGCAGTTCCAGGTCAGGGTTCTCAAAGATTTGTGTGTATTTTTTCTCTCCTGAAATAGGAGTAAGGGAACGCTCTAGTAACGATAGTATCACCTGCAATCATGACGCCATTTTGGCTGTCATCCGGGTGCAGTAGCAAAAGTTCGCCGATTAGACCAGTTAGATGGCGTACAAACTTTTATAAACGATTGCCCTGGTGAGTTACATCCACTTGCCAGGTAGTAAATCAAAAGTAGAACACAATAGTTAATGACTTCACATTATACAGGTACACGAGCCGAAGAATGATACTGCTTTGAAATCTGCTGATCTACGGTACATCTACAGAAAGGCAGGAAGTTGGTTTACATAGAGCTAGTGAGTTGCAGGAAACTGGTCAACGGGTAGTTGATGGCCTGCAAGAAACTAGTCTATGAGAATCAAATGGTCTATGGACTAGGGAACTAGTTGTTTGCAAGATACTAGTCTCTGGATAGTCAATGGTCTACTTAGGCTCTGGTGTCCTCTGATAGGGTAATGAGACCCGGATCTAGTGAACCCACGACACAAAATATATCATACACTCGGCCAATGGAAGTCGCCCTGGCCCAGCATCTGTAAGGGTCGTGAAGCACAAGCAACCTGTAGAATAATTGCTTCTTTGGAGACAGCCTTATACAGTTGGTGCTACCCTTTTCCTCGTTATTTTGGCTAGTGCTTACAAACACTTGTGATTTTATAATCTTGTAGTGTATAACTGTGAGGGAAAAGTTTGTGATCAACTCGTGTACAGTTCGTGTATAAAAATTGTTTTGTATAAACCCATAAGATCCTGATCACATCTTTTCTTCCCATTTATAAAGAGATGTAAATATTTTGAAACTTAATAAAATGAAAAGGCTCGGTGTCAATTCATATCCATACTGTAAAATTATTTTTTTGTTAGTCACAATATATGAATGAGAATTAATCGAGATACAACAAAAATAAATAAACGAGAAATACTGCCTCCTTTGCAAATGTTTTTTATTTTTTTCAGCTGTTATATATAATTACAAAGTTTGTTACCGAAGACTTCAAACTTTCGCTCTTAAATTATCCTACTTAGCCTAGTGAGACATTCATTTAGCCTGGAAAAGCCTCATTGTTTTTGTGTTTTTTTTTTTTTTTTACATTTCTCCGTCCTATTCACATTCACTCTGATTTTCCATCCAGGTTGGGTAGCAAAAAAAAAAGATTATCGTTTCTGTCATACACCTATTTGGAAGTCGTTCAAAACACATCAAAAACCATCGGAAAACTATAATTTCAACCTAACCTAACCTAACCTAACCTAACCTAACCTAACCTAACCTAAACTTAAAATCCTAAAATTCGCTGCATGACCGAAACGACAATAAAAAGAAAAAACTAAATAAAAACTCAATTGATCAGTTTCCAATACTGACTGTTTGGAATTGAAATGGAAACAGTTATTGAGACGAGACAGTTTTTTGAGGGGTTAAAATATCTTGAAAGACGCCAAAGAAAATTTACTGAATAGATTATAAAATTCAGATAGTGTGAAATTTAATCTGGTCCACAGCAGATACATGATATATAGTAGTGAATTCACAGTTGATATCAGGAACACTCATTGACTAATTAAATTAAAGAATACTTTTGTGGGGCTTACTCAATAATATAGCCAGGATATGTACAGTATTGGGTATTTCCTGTCAATATATACATATATATATAAAATACATATTCTTTGTCAGGATACCATAACAAAAAGTAAAGTAATCTCGCCTTGTGACTGACGCAACAGCCAGCTTACCTGTGAAGCGTTGCGTCAGTCTAGAACTCTAGAGTTTCGAAATTATGTTTGGTCTGTATTTAAGAAGCGGAGGTCCCTCGATTCCCAGTTCACATAGAATTAATAATAACAAAATTACTCGCGTGCCATTGATACTTCAGTTCGGATTGTAAAAACCACAGCATCATTCCCTAATATTATGTTCAAGTTGTACCAGATTACTGTACAATGTACAGTAATTGTAAAAGTGTGGTTGAAACTTGAAATATTACTTTCACCGCCATGGCCTACTGTTAAAAAGACACTTTCTCTTGTCTGTATTGTTTCAGTAATTCTCAGTTTGCTATCACTTCTTCAACTCTCATAATCCCGTCTAAAGTTACTCGGTGTTAACCTTCAGAACATAAAATTGTGTAGTATCTGTGGTCCCATTGAAACGAAAATTAAGCAAAACCCGGTAAATTACAGTTTATTCATAGAAACGTATTTCTTATTTTAATTAAAAAATCTGGATACTATGTTTAAAACAAGATTAATAATTAAAAATGTAGTATTAGTAATTTCGAATTAATCCTAAGCCAACGACAAATGAGACAAAACGGATGATGTAGGTATGTCAACATGTGCCATATCAAACACAGAAATATATTAATTAAATTAATCATGTTGTCTATTGATTAATTTAATTTTTTTATTTGAATCACTAAAATTATAGATAAACATATTTATTTTAGTGTTTATATACATACAGGCTCCCTCACTCACGCATGGTTGTGTGTACATGGAGGCTGTCGGGTTTACCGTCGTGTTGCTTATTTAGCTGAAACTATCGTAAGTATTGTTAAGAAATTATTTTTATGAGAGAAACTTAATTTATTCGTTATAAAAGAACAGTGTAACCGAAGTTTGAGCTTTCTTTCAAGCTCCAATTTTAATTATAACGGGTCATATGTTGAGTTTGGTTGTCTTCAGTTTAATTCTGACATTCTTGTGGTCTTTATCTTCACCCTGACAGATGTTCTTATGAAGTTATTATCCACTTCACCCGACAACGGGGCATGTGAACCGAGGGTTGTCTAGGGCTACCGGGTAGATCGGTAAAAACGAGGTGAACGGAAATAAAGTCCACAGGAAAAAAGTCACATGACTTATACACATTGACAACACAATATATATATGATGGCATTACACGTAGGTTAAGTTAGTTTAGCTTAGCTTAGCTTAGCTTAGCTTAACTTGGCTTAGCTTAGGTTTGGTTAGGTTAGGCTTTTTTCGTGCCTTTTTACCTGACTTTTTCTTGTGACTTTTTTTCCTGGATTCAAAAATAATTTGTGCCTTAGACATATGCAGTAAATATGTAAGTAATGGGTTAAACCCCAGTATTTTTTCACATCGGGAACGAAACAGTCATCAAACCAGGAGAGGAACAGTGTAGAGAACATCCACGCCTTACGTGCGGTCAGCCAGTGGACATTTAGCTTGGTCATGTCCATGCTCTTGTAGGCGTGCGGCTTGCGTGCTGTGTGGATCACCGATAACTTGAGCTTACAGGTACCGGAGGCATTGGTGGTAAACAGGACGGTGATGCGCTCCTTCTGCAACTTCCGGCCCCGACACTTGCTGGCATTCTTCACAACGAAGGTCTTGGAAGGTAGCTTTTTCCAAAAAAGACCAGATTCGTCCATGTTAAACACCTGGTCGTCGGTGTACTGTCCTTCCTCCATAATCTCACGTAAAAACGGAGGAAATTCCCTAGCCGCAACACGGTCAGCACTAGCTTCTTCACCACCAATGTTGATATTGGTGATCTTGTTTCTCTTCTTAAACCTCTGTAACCACCCAGAGGAAGCATTAAAGGGTTTGGGCTCTGTAATTCCCATCTTTCGTGACACTGCAGCATACAGTTCACGTGCGTACTCCTTAACTGAGCGCGTGTCCACCGCCATGTTCCGTCGCGCCTGACGCACCAAGTAGCTCACAAGTAATTTTTCTGTCTTGAGAAGCACCTGGTTGTGGAAATACTTGATCATAGAAGCACCTGTAGACTTTGTGATGTTCATGTGCTCCTTTATCTTGGCTGCATCCTTCTTAATTGTCCTGATCGTAGACTCGTTAACACCATGTTGGCGCACTAGATCAACCTGTCTTGTTCCTTTCTCCAACTCTTGTATGATCTTATATTTAATTTCGTAGCTTAAGGAACGTCTTGTCTTCTTTGGCTTAGGGCGGCTGGGTCCAGGTAATGCAAGGTTTCTTTGTGGTGGTGGTCCGGTGGAAGCCATTCTTATGGAACAATGGATACCGATATACACGGTGTCGCCTGGAGGGGTGTAACTGACGCGGTAGGTCGAGGGGCTTGAACGCTCCCGCGGCGGGGCACGTCATAGTACTACATTAAACCAATCACAGCTAGCAGGAAGGGAGGTAAGGATGCTTTGCCCAATCACAGTCCGCTACGTCATATGACGTCACCAATAACGCAACAAAGACATACACTGCGCAACCTACTGGGGGGATGGCAGGAGGTTTGGATGCAAAATGGCGTGGCGAGAGGACCGCCAGCCGCTCTCAGCGTAAAGGGTGCACCTCGTGAAAGTGAAGGTTTGACGGGGTTGCCGTTAATAGCGTGAAACTTAGTAAAAGTGGGACCGCGTAAAGCGAGGGTTAACTGTATGTATGTATGTATGTATGTGTGTATATATATATATATATATATATATATATATATATATATATATATATATATATATATATATATATATATATATATATATATATATATATATATATATATATATATAATTTTTTGGTAAAAAAAATGCGAATGGTCAAAACTGCGATAAAAAAAAGTGGGAAACACGAGATTACTGTACGTAATAGAACCTGACTTAACCAAAGAAACCTACCATATATATTTGGCGTACAAGGCCACGAGGTGTATAAGACGACCCCCAAAATTTCCATTTAAAACATAGGTTTTGAGCTATACTCGCTGTATAAGACTTCCGCAAATCTGACACTTACCACTGGGAGCATATTGGCAAAATATTGTCAACTACTTACCATAATCTGCATCAAACGTTACCAGCTGGTGTAGTGTAAACACTAGTGACGTCACTTAGGCGTCGGTTATTTTACTGGAACTAATGTCGGTGTCGAGTAAAATTTTACTATTTCCTTGAAATGGATTTACTGATTTATTTGTTTATTTATTTATAATATACTGTAATATATGAGAAATGTAGGAATAAAATACACTGCAGGTATTTTCTTTAATTTATAAACTTGCTTTGCGAGACGATCGGTAGGACTGGCTGTTTGTTTACTTTGACGGCAGTTGCAAATTGCGGGCAGTGCGTGATGATACCTGCGTTTATTATGTTATTATTTTATGGTATTTACAGTATGTTAGACAGGTTTATAATGCATTTTCATTATTTTAATATACCGGTAATCTTATTTTTAATCCAGCTTCCCAAACGTAAGTTTCAGTAGAAAATAATTAGTGGTAGGACCGTGGGATTAAGGCGAGTGTTTTACGATGTTTTCCATCACCACTGGTGACACACTAAACCACAGGATGTAGAGGTTCGGATTTGATACCCGGCGTTTAAGACGAACCCTAACTTTGGGCTGATTTTTTTAAGGTTCAAATTCCGTCTTATACCCCGACATACAGTATACGGCACTTCACCTTGCCTAACTTCCTAGCCAGACCCCATTCCATATTAAACAAAGTACAGGTACAGTCAGTACTTATTTTGATATCTTGTACCAATGAGTGCAACATTGTTGAAGTTGCATGGTGTAATTTGGAGACGCAGGGAGCGTTGTGGACATGAGTGTACAATCGGATTGAGCTGCTCATTTGTTGAACAGAAACAAACAAAGAACAGACAACAACATGCACCAACATGACAGGTTTATCGGCTGAATATTTACGGTAAAAAATTAATTTGTTTACGTACAAAGCAGGTATAGACATCATTTTAGTGTTGTATGATCGGTTTTTCGTTGTGTTTTACCCTTTAATTTCCTTCATCCTTCATACCCTGCTCACTACAGGTCATTTATGATTGTAGATGGAGAAAAAAAAATGTATATACAGTTAACCCTCACTTTACGCGGTTAATGTAACCCGGAGGGTCCCGCGTAAAGTGAGGAACGCGTAAAGTGAATAACATAACATATGGGATTAATTGAAATGGAGTCCGGGCCGATCCCCAAACTCCACTTTTTGACGACACACAACTATGTTGTAGTAAAAACTTTATCTTAACTTTATGATGGTATGAAAAAACAGGTAATATAGAAGAGGTTAGGTTAGGAAAGATAAAGGTTAACATAGGAAAAATAAAGGTTAGGTTAGAAAACTAAAAATTAGGTGTAACACTCACTGTAGTAGAAGAGATGGGTCGGCATACGGGGATGGAGGCTGGTTCCGAGGCAGAGGGCAGATTACTGGCCCTCAGGTGAATCACCATTACTAGGTGAATCACCATCACTGTCACTTACAGTTGTCAGGGCTTCCCTGGGGGTGGTGGTCCGGCGGAAGCCATTTTACGGAACAATGGATGCGCGTTTACACGGAGTGGCCTTGAGGGATGAAACTGCCGCGGCTAGGTCAAGCGTCGTCTTTCCTCCCTCCCTCCCTCACCCGGGTGGACACGTCATAATACTTTAAGCCAATTACAGCTAGCAGCAGAGGGGGGTAGGGATGCATGGCCAATCACAGGTCTGATACGTCATATGACGTCAGTGATAACGCAACAAAGACACACACTGCGCAACCTTACCGCGCCGCTTGCCCAAGCGGAGGGAGGAGGAGGGAGAGGCAGGCTGGCGGGTGGGGCGAATCTAAAGTTATCAAATGCTGAATTATTGAGGGTTTACTGTACAGTCATAAGGTTCTCTGATGGCTGGGAATCAAAGACATAACTTCACTTTTGAATGGATAACTCATAGCTTGACAAGAGGTAAAAACAGTTATCACAGATTTAGCTGGGAATTCATATATACATCATCTGGGTACAGTTTTAACTACATTAAATATACAGTACTTGAAGCTTTCAACGTATACATACTGAATCTTGAATGCTTCACCTACTGGTAGGTACGGTATACATCACTTACTGCTACTCATACATGTTACTTCATCATTTTAAATTTACGATACAGGGGTAATATAGAAAACAAATCTCTCTCTTGGGGTAGCTTGCTCGTTTCACACCTGTTTATAGACGATGGAGCCTAATATGAGTAAGTATGGGTGTGAAAATATTATCGGTATAACTGTGTCCATGACATTGGCACCATCGGATCTTCCGTGACGACCTTGCTTTGGTTTACTTGTCTGCTATACAGGAGTATTCATAATCTTTGTTTACATGTCAAGAAATGAATGGCTATCTCATCGGGTGTGTTTATAATGATTTATATTGGTTTGAATTCGTTAAATTTTCCTAGAGATGTTGTTTAGATGATAGTAAGTAAGAAAATCGAAATAACAATTAACAGTTTAGGAATTTAGGTTAGGTCAGGTTCTAATAGGTTTTGTGCATTGTTGTTTGATCTTATTACTCGCCATTCAAACAACATTTGAAAATTTGGTGCAGTTCCATAAAATCCTTCTGGTGCTAACTGTCTCCTCCACCATTACACTGTACCATTAAATGTACGTCACCAGGAATTGTTCATGTGTACTGGGTAAAAATATATTATAAACATAAATATGGTATAAGTGAGGTTTAGAATCAGTCAACATTATTAGGTGTACTGTTTTCCATTTAGCCAGGGTACCTGGCCATTGCAAGCTGTTACTTTTTTGTCATATATCATATACTGTACTGCAGTGATTATATTATTGCTCATTTAAATTTTAAACTTTGCAGCACTGTACATAGATACAATAAATAGATTGGACATACTGTATGTATTGGTTATTAGAGCATGCCAGATAATAAACTTCCAAATGAAGCTTTTACTATATTGTACAGTACTACTGTATTGTGAGTGATGTAAGCACGCATTTATATTGTTTTGTTTTTTATTTTTCAGGTTTGTTTGAAAATGAATGATAAAAAGCATTGGACACCAGAAGCTTTAAAAACTTTAAATTATCATTTTTGTGAATTTAGTTATATAAATGGGTATGAGCCAACAATAAGTGATGAAGTGGTAAATAATGCTTTACAGTCCGTTTTGGAGGATTTATCTAATTATGAACATTTGAATAGGTGGCTTATCCACATGAAAAGTTTCAGAAAGGAAAAACTGCCTGGAAAACACACAACTGTGGACAATGTCTTAGCTTCCCTGGAGCCTCCTACTAAGAAGGTAAGCTATCTCCAGAGTGCAGGTCTTGCATGTATTGCTTAATCATAAACCTCTCAAATACAATTCAGTACAGTATAAAGATTTCCAGTGTTTGGGTAAATTTAGAAACATAAGGCAGTTAGTTATTTACCAGCTTAAAGGTCTCCCTTGCTTGAACGAACTGCTTAAATAATGAATATTACTGTTAAGGGTCAGCCAAATCCCAGACTTGGCTCCCACAGATTACCAAGAGGTCAGATGTGGATTACAGTACTGTACCTTACAGTTCTATACTGTAGTTGGTTTACCAAACAACCATTAACTTTCATATCTGGGGTCCAGTTATTATATGTAGAAGGTAACTCAATCAATGTCATGGCCTGTGTGTAGCATAAAACCTGTCTGAAAGGAAGTTTGACTTACCAATTGAGGCGCTCCGCATTAGAAGGGGGTGAAGCGCCAAATTAAAAAAAAAATGAGAAAAACACGTTTAAAGTTTTTCCAAGTTCAAACACCCATAACTTTTTTTGTTTTTTAAGCTAGAGGGTTCTTTTTTTTGTGTGTAGCTCAATCCCTCTCCTAGTGAACTGTGAAAACTGGAAGTTAGTACTGTGAATAGTTATTATTTTATTGCGAGTTGAATGAGAATAACTACCCGTGGTGTCCAGTTGTTTGATCTTCAAACCAACAATAATCGCATTTTTCTGCAAAATTTTCTTATTATTGTGGGCTAATACTGTGGATAATGTGTTGCAGTAGGCACATACACTTCCCTTAGGATGGAAAGAATTGAATTGAATTGTAACAGTTTATTTAGCCAGAAAAATACAGATACAGAGTGGATAATAATAACAATATTAACATGGCTGAACCAGTTGAGGTTGTAGTTGGGGACTTGAAAAGGTTTGGGTGAAGCTGCTTTGGTCAGTTGAAGTTCAGATAGTAGTAAGAGGTTGGGGGAAGCAGTTAAAAGATGGTGCTCCACAGAAATGAAATTAGATCTCAGACTGCGAATGTTGGAAAAATTAAGTTTGATAAAAGCCGATCCTCCAGCAACCGCGGTGACGTCAGTTGAGGCCCCAGTAGTTTGATGATGATCAGGTCGGTCCTGGGGTCCACAACTTTCCTGACCAGTGGGACCCATCTGAGAAGGTCCTGCTTAAATATTATTGTCAACTGATATCATAGGAGAATAAAAGAACAGAAAGAATAGAACAGATCAAGAGTGAGTACGGTTATATATATGTTGTGTTGTCAATAGTAGTAATAATAATAATAATTAATGGTTTATTAAGGTAACATGGCAGCCCTAAGGCTGAAAATATACAATGAACAGAGATGATAGGTTACATATGGTGGAAGCGGGGAGTGGGTCACTTTATTGACAAAAGCTTTCAATACAAAGACATAAGAAACATAGTCAACATAGAGATTAACTTTAGATCTGGTACAGTGGGAGCTGGTCTGTAGACATTCTTGTGACCTGATGTTGGCGCCAACAAGGTCCTCCCCACTGTTTGGATGGCCGTCGTACCTGGGTGGTAAGCCGCTACCTCACTACAGCTGCAGATGTTTAGCACGTCTACCACGTTGTCAGGGTAGGTCCTTCAGCTCATACAGGGTGTTGGAGATGGTTCTTGTTCCTCATGTGATGTAGTTAGGAGTTTAAGGTTCCTCACCTGGGTGGAGTAGAGAGTCCTCATTTCTCTCCTGATGCAGTTTGGAGTGCGTCTTGGCTTCTCATCCAGTGTTGGTGGTGGCGAGTGTACTGCGGGCTGGGTGAGTCAGGTCAAGGGTCAGGTCAACATTGACGGCTAAGCACTGATTCTCACTCTAACAGTTGTTTCTCTCTTTCGAGTTGAAATTTTCACTTTTGTATATCAGTTGTGAGTTGATCGTCAATCTTTGCGCTGTACTGTTGGTGGGAGGATGTTGATAAATCTAGATGGGGAAAATGAAGGCCTGACAAACCAGGCTGGCAGCTGTCTCCATGGTCAAGAGACCACAGCAGAGTCAGCGGGCAGCGCCGACTATACACGTCCTTTCCCTATGAAGGCTGAAGGAAGTGTGTGAGACAAGGGTGACTGTTATTTCTAGAGGGTTGTAAAGGGAATTTTTAACTGATTAATAAATTAGTCCCAACCACTAATGTTTAAGGTGTTACTTTTTTTTTTCCTCTATTTCTCCCCCCCCCCCCCTTTTTTTTTTCTTTCTTCTTCTTCTTCTTCTTCTTTGGAAACCTGTGGAAATATTGTAGGACTATTAGACTTTCTGGATCAACTCTTAATTTGTCTTCTTTATTAGAAATAGTGACCTGTTTGTTGTTATTAGTGCATTTTACAAAATATCAACCTTTTTGTGATAAATTACTTCCTGTTCATGATATTGTGCGCTTCAAATTTTCAGATTGTAACAAGAGATACATATTGTGTCAGTGAAAACTCTTCTAGCCTATTAAAAGAAATTTTTAATTAAAATGCTCTCCTCTCTCTTATTTTATCAGAACAAGATGACTCCAGAAGAAAACTTGAAGCTCATCACCCGGAGATTAGATGAAGTTATTGGAGAGGACCGCATGATGACAATCTTGAAGGAAAGGCCGTTGAAAATTTACTGGGGTACTGCCACTACAGGGAAGCCACATGTTGCATACTTTGTGCCTATGACCAAAATTGCAGATTTTCTGAAGGCTGGATGTGAAGTGAGTTTAAATAATACTGTACAGTAAAAGGTTAGGAGGTACTCCATGAATCTAACCGATCATTTGTAGGTATAATGTGGTACTGTACTGTACATGTATATATACAGTGGTCCCTCGGTTAACGAGCACAATTCGTTCTAGAAGGTTGCTCGTTAACCGAAACCATTGTTTCAATGGGTTTTTGGGTAATTGGTTCCAGCTCACCAAAAATTGCCTAAATTCAACAAAAAAGGTAGAAAAGTACACATACTTTGAGGTGTGTATGTTGAAGGCTCCTGGATGATGATGGGAATTAGAATGGGGGTGGAGGAGAAGGGAGAAGAGAAGGCATTGGGGTGGAAGAGAAGTCACCCCATGGTGCCATTTCACCCATAAAATTTTAGTTCACTTAGTGTAATTCAAGATTATTTTCTTTAAATCAACACAAACATATTTCAAAATGACCAATAATTTGACTGGAAACAGAAAAAAAGCATTTATGTTGAAGAGTCTCAAACAGGATGTTCCTTCCTCTGAACCGATAAACAAACTGACGCCAAGCTTGGTGTGTTGAGTGGCTGTTTGACATGCAAAAAACTAGTTTCCTGTACTTCAATTATGTTACAATAATTGTTAAAATGACTAAAAAATTTAATATAAAACTTTTAAAATTATTGAATAGCACAACCTTCTTGATATTTACTAAAATGGTAAAGAATTTAAGCCCTAAAACCGATTACTGTATTGGCGGACTAATACTACAGCTGGTGAGCAGCCAAATGCAGGCGAAAACATGTTGGGGAAAAATTTGTAAGGAATTCGTTAACCGAAGCTTTAAATGTTTAATTGGTCACTTATAAATTATTACAATAATTTATAAAATCCTGATATGATTATAAATCATTGCTGTATTGTCACTAAACTGATTTTTATTTATTTTTTTTAGGTTACCATCCTTCTGGCTGACCTTCATGCATATTTAGACAACATGAAAGCTCCCTGGGAGTTAATCCAGTTCCGCACAAAATACTATGAAGCTGTCATCAAGGCCATGCTTTCTGCCATTGGTGTGTCCACTGAGAAGCTTCGTTTTGTACAAGGTAAGAATTTAATTTTTCCTCATTCGTGTGAGGAAAAGTAGTGAGAGAAAGCTGAAAAATGCATGTCATATTTCTATTGAAGAGGGATCAGAGACTTTAAACCCACTGAACAAGCAGCATAAAAAATACAGGTCATATGTTACATTAGGTTAGGGTATGATGAGTTATAAGGTTAACTTAACATACATCGGTAAGAGGGGGGGTAGTAACTCAAAACTGGTGATTTCCGATAGAAATGAAGGTCTAAATCATTCATAACACATCGCAAACCACCAGAAAAAAAAAACATAGTCTGCAAGTCTAAGAACAGGGATGACCAAAACTTAAAAGTTACCCAATATTGCTGGTCTCTAATCTAAGCATCCAAATACTTATGGCAGTTAAAGTAAAATTTTACCTATTCATTAATATAAATGATGATATATCCCAGTGGTTCATTAGTGAATCATCAAAACAATAGCAGCACTATGTTGTCATGTTTACCTAGCATCAGGCATTCTCAAAACAAAGTCCAGACAATGTCATTACATACCTCTCAATTGACTCGTATCTCCATCCGTGCGTCGTTTGCAGGGAAGGTGATTATGTCATTGCAAATGGCGACCCTGTTTTTAGAGAAATTAACTTATCTCGACTGTTATATCACTCTACGAACGTGGCAGAGTGCATTTCTTGTGTTTACCCAGAACCGTCAACTTGTCCATTATGGTGAAAACACTTACAGTTGTCTTAAGAGGGTTGAGAGTGGAGTTTTCCAGCCATCCTCCCTACCTTCGACACGATTGACTTCCTACTCTTAATATTCTCATTTTATAGTTTATTTTCTTTATATCTAAGTTACATTAGAGCACTGAAATAATATTTCCATGGCTGTTATGTTTTTTTGTGTAACAATTAAATGTGCGTAGCCTTCTCACAGCTAACAGCGCCCATGTGTTATGGTGATTTCTAGACTCGATATTCTCCAACACACAATATACCCCTACACTTTTTTTTTCTTGTATGTTTTTATTACTGTGCAGTATACAGTACAGTATATTATTTATTCATAAAGCACACTTATCACATTGAAGTGACATTCACAAACTCTGTGGCTATGTAACAAATAACAATGGCGTCAACAATCAGTCGTGTGAGAGGAGACTGACATATTTTGGCGTGGTGGCAACTTAACACTTGTGAGATATGGACTGCCACAGAATTTGTGGAAAAATAACTTAAGTTACATTTCTCTGGAACACATCCCTGACATATAGTGAGGACCCCATGTACAGTACTGTACATACAAAATACCTGTACTGTACTTGTATGTTTTATCAGACATTTATTTGTCTGGTCATAACAATTTGTAATTTGTGTCTCTGGCTTTGAATATTGTAGATTGTTCAACATTATACTGCCATGATCTTTACCTAGGGAACTGATTGGGACACCTTTCTCCAATTTCTCTAGTGTATTATCTTCAGTTTTTCTCTTAACTATTCAAAGTACTTTACCTGTATTTGTTGCTGGAGACTCGCTGGATGTATTTTCATACTTTGAGCGAACATACACTGTTGGCAGTAAAACAAGAAATATTCAGGATTTGTTAATGAAACATGGGGATCCAATATTTATAAGCAGTTAGGATTTACCAGTGAAAACTAATGATTCTGGGTACCATAGTTGAGGGTAGTGAGGATAGGTCAGAGGAGGCGGGGGATGAACGAAGATGGAACAGTGTCTTAAAGAGTCATCGTAGTCGAGAAGTTACAGAGGAACGATGGAGGGAAGCTTACAATTACCACAAATAATTTTTCCCAAATTTAGTAGCCATATGGCTTTGTATTTCCGGCCAAATAAAGGCAAGCAATTTGTAAGCAAAACCAGGACATGCCCCCATATCGATCGATGGGATTAATGCCCTACATGGAACACATCGATTGATGGGCTTAGTACTTTAAGGGTTAAGAAAAGCAGATACTGTACTGTACTCAAGAGTATATTGTGCTGTATAACTGATAGTTAATGGGCATTTTTAAGATGCTTAAGAGAACACAGTAAGAAAGTTGGATGGATTCAACTTTTGACTCAGTTGTGTTTCAGAAGAATTTATTTAAAAACTTTTATACAGAGATAAAGCTTAATCCTGAGACTAAGGTAATGCTTTTTAAAATAGGAAAGACTTTTTTAATTTACCTGTCAGATCATTGATATATTTGTGCTCTTCCTACATTTCAGTCTGGGTGGCTTGTTATTTTGCTACCCAAATAATTATGTATTAATTTATGTATGTCTTGTTTCTAGGCACAAGCTATCAGCTAGGAACAAAATTCACTGATGATATGTACAAGTTAGCTGCTATGGTGACTGAACATGATGCCAAGAAAGCTGGAGCAGAAGTAGTTAAGCAGATAGAAGCTCCTTTCCAGTCTGGGCTTCTGTATCCTGGACTCCAAGCACTTGATGAAGAGTATCTTGGAGTAGATGCACAGTTTGGTGGGGTTGATCAAAGGAAAATTTTTACCTATGCTGAAAAGTATTTACCCAAACTTGGTTACCAAAAAAGATCCCACTTGATGAATCCTATGGTTCCTGGTTTAAGTGGAGGTAAAATGTCGTCTTCAGAAATTGATTCTAAAATAGATCTTTTGGATTCTGCTAAGGCAGTTGAAGATAAGCTGAGTGGAGCAACATGTGATCCCTCTTCACCTGATAATGGTGTCATGGCTTTTGTGAATTATGTAGTATTTCCAGTTTTGGAAAGCCAAGGTAAATCATTTGAACTTTGCAGTGGACAAAACTTTTCTTCCTTTGAACAGTTGCAAGCAAGCTTTATTGATGGAAAAGTACATGGAGGTGATATAAAGAAGTTTGTCATAAAATTTTTAAACAAGCTTTTAGAACATATACGGAAAGAATTTGAGAAACCTGAATTGCAGGAACTTGTGAAAAGGGCATATCCACTCTCCAGTCAGGTGCAGGTGTGTCCTGCAGCCCATGAAGCTAAAAAATTTGGTGAAGCAAAAGAGCTGACCATTGAAGGGTTAAGTCTTGATGATCGAGTAAATTTAATGAGTAAGAATTTGGCCTTAACACCACCCTCTACATTGAATACTGCATTCAATTATTCTCCTCATGTGTTGTGGACAGTTCCAATAACAAGACGGCCAGAGCTTGGTATGCTTGGACACATTGCTAAGGTGCGTGATTTCTTAGCTGCAGGTTGTCATGTTACTGTTGTAACCTCAGATATTATCTCTTATTTAGATGGGTGTCAAGTCCCATGGGATGTGGCCCCACACAGAGCTGAGTATTTTATAGAGTTAATCAAAGCTGTTATGTCTACAAATGAAATTCCACTTGAAAATGTCAAATTTATTAAAGGTAGTGACTTCCAAAAGAATGAGGATTATGTCTTAGATTTATACAGGATGACAGCACTTGTTACATGTAAGGATTCAAATGATTCTGTGTCAACTGTCCTGAGAGATCCTAACCTTCTTTCTGCTCTTCTTTACCCAGACATGATGGCTTTGGATGAGAAACATTTACAAGCCAACATTCATTTTTGTGGTGCAAAGCATGTACCATTGTTTGACTTTACTGAGAAAAATATACCTTTGGTAGGTGGAGTACCCTGCATCCACTTGTCTGGAGCTGAACTGCCAACTCTATTAAACAGAGCTGCTCTTACACCTGAAGAGGAGTTTATTGATCTCATTGAGCAAGAGGCACAATTAAAAAAGAAACTAAAATCTGCATTCTGTGAGGAAGGAAATATTAACTTTAACCCAGTGCTGTCGCTTGTAAATGTAGTGATCATGCCATTGCTAGGGGAGGAGAAATTTAGAATAACACGTTCAGAAGAAAATGGTGGTGATTTGGAGTTTGAGTCTTTTCAAAACTTGGAGGGTGTATTTGCTCAAAAGAATTTGCATCCAGGTGACCTAAAAAACAGTGTTCTAGAATACATAAAGAGGTTCATCAATCCTATAAGTAAAGCAACAGGAACACCCCTCATGAAGAAACTACAAAGCAAGGCTTATCCACCTCCACCAAAAAAAACAAAGGGCTCTCAGAAAACTGCTGGTGATAGTGATGACTTTTTACCTTCCAAGTTTAATATGGTTGTGGGAAAAATTGTTGAAATTTCAAGACATCCAGAGGCAGATTCACTCTATGTAGAAAAAATTGATATTGGTGAGGATGAACCACGGACAATTGTTAGTGGTTTGGTCAAATTTATCCCAATAGAAGAAATGCAAGAAAGAATGGTCGTAGTGTTGGCAAATCTGAAACCTGCAACTATGCGGGGAGTTAGATCCGCTGGGATGGTGTTGTGTGCCTCAGTTAGTGAGCCAGCAGCTGTAGAACCACTCCAGCCTGCTCCTGGGAGCAAACCAGGTGACCGAGTATTGGCAGAAGGTTATGAAGGAGAACCAGACTCTGTCTTAAACACAAAAAAGAGTAATGCTTTAGTAAAGATGTTGGAGGGTTTCAGGACTAATGGATTACTAACAGCAACATGGAACGGTAATATTTTGAGCACCAGCAGTGGTCCGGTTACAGTGGCTAGTCTCAAAGATGCTCCCATTAAATAATAGCTTTATAACTTTTAAATTGTTACTTACGATATGTAATAGTTATTTTTGATAAGTGCAAAATAATAATCAAAGAAATGGCAATGTTATTTACTATATACTGTATTGCTCAGTGTTGTTTCACCACTTTGGCCCAAGAGAATACAGTACAATAAGTCCTCGTTTAACGTTGCCCCCAACAACGTTGTTTCGTTATAACGTCGCTACTCTTTAGATACCCATGATTCGGACAATGTCCCGCCGATTCAGTATAACGTCGTCATGGACTACTTTGTACGGCGCATCATCCTCTCTCACCCAGTCAGAGCGGGAGGAGGAGCCACCCTCTGGGTCTCAGTGACTCACCACCCTTCTCCTCTCCTCTACCCACCACACACTCGCTCCGCCTCCGCCCATTAGTGAGTACAATACAAAATGATTTAGTTTACAGTCATTTCTGCTATAACGCATGTTTTGTCAACGCGATTGATGAATAGGGGAACGCTGTTTGTAAAATGAGAACTTTTGCATACGAATGTTGTCTGTAACACAATTCCATCCTCAACGTTTTAAGCGTGGCGCGGGGTTATGCAATGTTTACAGTTCACGTTCGACATCTCATGTTCAATTGATTCGTGTGTTTTGTTTGTGAAGTGTTTTTTGAGAGGTACTCTCTAAATTTTGTTCTTTTTTTTTTTGCAAATTTAGCTGTTGCTCATAAATACTGTATGAAAAGAATAAGTAAAAAGAATAGTTTCGCAGTGTGGACTAATAATGGTTTATACCAGCACACTTTGTTTACATCACGTGATCAGTTGAATCGCGCAGTTTCTGTCGATTGCTCTGTGAAGTGTCCGTGATTTTCGCTGTTTTCTCCAATTTTGTTGTGTTTCCGATGAATATGGAGAGAGAAGGTAAGAAGAATGTTCCGAGAAGCATTCTGGTGATCGAATTGCCGGTGGCAAAAGTAAAAGAAAGGCTATAACACGATTGCTGGAACAAGCTTGAGTGCTAGCAAATCTGTGAGATCACGGCCAGAGTAATAGGCACCTCACCCTATTTTATCCATAAGCTCTGTAATTTTTATTGCGTGAATTTCTACAACACGAGGTTTCACAAGAACGCAACTATCGCGTTGTAGCAGAAATGACTACGGTATTTATCTTTTTGGATGTATAATATATACTATTTTTTATAAAAACTCCATTGAATTTATGTTTATGTAATGTATTTTATGGGGCAAAGGGAGGCTGGGGAATGTAACTCCCGTATTTTATCTATTTCTCATGGGGAAAATTGATTCCGTTAACGTTGCGGTTTTCAGGAACGGAACCACAACCACAACGTTAAGTGAGGACTTACTGTACTGTACTATACTTCTTTTCATAAGAAGCTGCAATATAATAAGGTTACCCGGTATATATAATTGTATAGAGGTCACCAGGTGAGAAGCAAAGTCGAGTTTTGTACTTTTTTCTAAACATTATGATCGTTAAATTTTTACTTGTTCCTACATTCAGAGCAGTAACATGTAGAATTTTCATCAAATATGTTAACTTCAGTACCGTACTATCAATGATAGTTTTAGTACAGTAAAGTGATAATCCTGTATTCCGATCCAAACCAAAGGTAAAGTAATATTGACAATCTTTCGGGGAACTAAAAGCTGTAATTGACAAATTTGATGAAATTAAATGCTGCTTTATGACCAGATTCACTTTATTAATACCTTATTATTATAGTTATTGTTGAATCTTAAAGATATACTGTACAGAAATACTTTTTAAATATGCAGTCATTCAGTTTCCAGCCCATAAAATTTTTATTATAATTTGAGTACCGGTATGTTTGGGCAATGGAAGTTTATCTTAAACCTCAGAATAACTTATCATCACAGAACTTATTTATATTGTATAATGTTGATTACATATCTATCTTATGCCACAGCAAAGTTTGCTAATTTTATGGTACAGTTGATATTAGTGATGAGTTTATCCAGTGATATTAATATATTTCAGGTAGTACTTTGTAGTTTTTATGATATACTGGTACTTTATAATGTAAGTTTATGACATAATTTGTCCTAACATCTGACATATTTCATTGCCTTAATTAATTTAGACATCATTTTTTTTTTTTTTACAATCTTCTAGAGCTATCCTTTGGTAAGTGAGCTAAATATAACCTCTGTATTTAGTTGGGTTTCATTATCCGATAAAGAATCATATGCTGTTATGACCAACAAGTTTTTCACATACGAACAAAGCAGAATGGCCCTTACTAAAGTTTAGTGCCAATAAACATTATACTGAAACACCAATGTTAGATTATCTTCTTTTCTAAAAGGAGTTAATAGTATTGTATACACTGACAAGAAGTAGAGGATCACGAACAAGTTAAATTGTAGTAAATACATAAACAAATTTGAAAGCACTGTATTTTTATGTTGAAGGGTGGTCAGAATCAGGAACAATACTCCCATCATTCACTGAAAATTCATAATCATAAAATGCCTTGTACTTTAACATGTGTTCTCATGTAGTGTACCACTTGGAAAATCTGGCCCCAAAATCTCTGGGTTGCCTGTCACACCACACAATCCATCAGCAGCACATCCATCCCAATTAATCACTTGACAGTTGACATCATACTCTTTATCATGCACACACCACTGTTTCTTGAATGTACAGTCTCGTTCAAGATTCTTTCGAACACTGCGGGAGACAGCTGGCAACTCAAGGTCGTTTGTTTACTATAGTACGTAGTATAATATAATACGGAACAACAAAGTCCTACCATTAAATTAAGCAACGGGGAACTAAGTAACCAATCGCCGATCACTTTTACATTTATTCATAATTTTTAGTACGTATTATAGTAAACAAACGGCCTCGAGTTGCCAGCTGTCTCCAGCAGTGTTCGAAGAATCTTGAACGAGACTGTACATCTTGCTCTTATCCAGTACCTCTCGCCCATTCCTTTCATCGCTTTCTTTGTCTTCCTCTCTCCTACCATTCATATTTGAATTACCGGTAAACATTTTATACTAATACTGTACTGTGTACTGTTCCTCTATCTCTTAAGTAGATCCATACCTCCATTGTAAACTCCAATTAGGCCTCTGTTCAATGCTGTTTCATCTCCATTTCTCCTTATTTCATTGTTTCATGTTTGTATGCTATTCTTCCCACATATTGCTCTCAAGCACATCCTTCTATTTCTTTTAACATATTTTCTTTTGCATCCAGTCTCTGACTCACACGCGGAGTAATTTCGGCTAGACTATTTACTCGTATACTTCTGTATACTGTATATATCAGCGGTTCCCAAACACAGGGTCGCGACCACACAAGATGCATCATAAGGGGGGTTGCATGGAGGTCATGGGCCACATAGAGTTCATAGAGTTGTCGGTGTTTGTATCAGTATTAGTGTATTGTGAGTAAGGACAAGGAACTGGTCCTGCTATGTAATGTAATGTGACACCAGTAAGAGGGTGCACGGTAAGAGTGTAATATCTGAGTAATTGCTGTTGAGTAAATAAGGAATACAGAGTCTGCAATATGCCCAGGAGTTGAGCCTGGTAGTTATATGTTAATAACATCTATTTTCCCCTTTGATTTTATATTAATAAACTTGTTCTTTGAGAATTTTAGGAGTATTCATTTCTCCCACAGTAGCTACCTTTATTTCCGTTCAAGTGACCTTGATATCAGAATTACACTACCCATGTGCCTAGACCATCGACATGCTACCAAGAAGAACTGTGGTTAGGTAGTACCAAAAATGAACTGAAGTGAGTAGAAGGAACATTTGAAAGGACTAAGACAGGTTGTGGTTTCACCCTTCTTTCCCCTTATCGATCTGGTCAATGAAAAACCTAACCCAATGCCTAGTCCACTCTGCACGCTACCTAACGAGCTACATGCTGTCCAGAGGGGGTCTGGTGACAGCGACCCTTAGAAATTAAGATTAAGAGTTGAGTATTCCCCCTTAGGATTAGTGACCCCAGTCTGGCAGTATAATGACCCATCCTTGTAGAATTCATCCCCTGCAGGCCTGAGTGATCGTCCATGTTCACTGTTGTTGGTGGTGATAGGCAGGGCATTCTCTTTACAGGTGCAGTACATTGTGCTGGGACGTGCTCTTGAATCTCGTTTTTGTAGCGGTGGTAAAAGCTGTGAGGGAGGTGGCAGTAGTGGTGCTCATGCTAATTGCTGGGATTACAAGGGTAATGCTAGTGGGTGGCCGTGACACCTTATACAAGCGCAGGCTTACAGTAACCTGGTTTTTTATAAAGTAAGAATATATTAACGATATGCGCACAATACGACAAAGAAACTACATGACACGTCACACAGTTATATGAAAGATGGAGCAAATCTGTTCATAGTTGATGGATAAAGTGGGAGTGACCTCTGCCAGCAGAGTTCATCACTAACTTTGTATTTTCCTCACACTCTTCTGGTTAAGGGTAGGCATTGTGCTTCCTACCGCACAGAATTTCAGTTCTTGCCCTGGAAAAATCAGATAGGCTTTCTAAGTTTCACTTGGATCTTTATCCTTATAACATGAAACACACACACACACACACGTGTAGGTCAATATGTTGATTTGTATAATTACTGTATACTGGAAATTGTTGGCCATGATGTAAGTATATTTCCCCTTTTACTTATGGAAATATATGCTTTGCTTAAGATTCTTAACATAATTGGCTTAATACCATTTAAGGGCACGAATGGCTTTAAACAGGCAGAACATAATAAGGAGCGAATTTTCACCTCAGGGCGCGTCGCTAGTGAATGGTGTCTGATAATGCTACGATTTCTCGTAAGGGCGGCAGCACGGTCAACTCGGTGACATGCGGGCGCCCTGTTGTTACTGAGCTGATGAAGTTTGCGCTCGTACTGGAGAGTGTAATGATGATGTTTTTTTATTCAGTAAAATTGTCATACATGTTTACAATTGGATAAGCTTGTTTATAAACTCTGTGAGAGAGAACCCAAGAAGACCTCCCTATGGCTCTGGAGGCTGCGGCACTTATACCTGCCATCTGCTTTGAACAAGTCAAACGTGAATTTTTTATTAGAACATTACAAGTTTGTTGCAGCGTCAAGGAAAAAAATCTAATTTTTTATTATAAGAAAAATCCTGAGATAATTCACAGCTGATTGTATGATAAAACGCCACATAACTAACAAAGAATTTCATTGAAAAAATCCCAGGATATTACACAACCGGACAAAATACATCTACAGTACTAGATCAATAAAGTGGAAAAAATACATCCAATTAAAATTCCTTTAAAGGCCCAATATCCCGTTCCTATGGATTAGGTTAAATAACATCAGTTGTGAACCGAATAAGTATAAACATATTGACAGAGATAGGCACCTAGCGCCCCCCCCCCCCTCCCCTGTCAGTTGACATTTGTTCAACC